AATACAGATAAAGAAATAAAAAATTACAAAATTTAAAAGGAAATTTATGCTTACCAGATGCTATCACAAAATTTGGTGCTATTGAAGGGGCTAGATGCTCATCAATAATGTCTTCCCAGGGCAAATGTACAATAGAAACTTTGCTATCCTTTAGTTTCCCACCCCATGTTACTCTATCATTTATTGAAGGCAAACTAAGATCAGATTCGTTTTCAGGATTCTCTTCCCCAGAGTTAATTTTTATGTTTTCAACCAGAGCACTCATTACAGCAGGGTGACAATCTGAAAACATGTAGTGCTGTGGACTGCACAGGTGACTCACAGCAATGCCACACAAGCCCACCCCACTCCCTAGCTCTAGAATTGATGAGTTTTTCAACAATTCTCTATTGTTGAAACACCAATTTATTAGAACATGAGCAGCCTAAAAGAAATGAGAACCAATGATACTACTTGAATACAAGGGTAAAACTCGATAAGGTATAGGGAAATAGCAATAAACAGTACCTGCCAAATGTACAGACCAGTTGTACCATCTGAGATTATGCTTATGCTTTCTCTGACTGTAATGACAGATCCATCATCCAGGAGGAAATGACGAAAAACTTTTTCTCCATTTGAACATTGCAAAATTTCTACATGCCTCTCATAGAGATTCCCAGATATTTCAGCCCCTCTGGCTTCGAGCTGTGGATGCCAATCAATGTGATTTAGATATTAATCCACATGTTGTCAAAACAAAATTGAGAAATGACATCAAATATTGTATTGTAACTAACTTACCTCTTTTATGAGTTTACGCAGAAAGCTTTGTTGATATTCCACTTTTAATGGATACTTAACAACTAGCGGATGATTAATAGTAAGGGATAAAATAGTGTCTTGATTGGTTTCTCCAAACGTAGAATTTGCCAGGTCGTGAACAACATCCTGTTTGTTTTATATTCATTAACAAAACAATGAATAAGTGAGAACAAAAGCAATACAACAGGTTAGCGCAACAAAATTTTCACGTTACGATGTCCAACTCACCGTAAAATCTATTTTACTAACTGAAACACCACTTAAGAACTGCCTACTTATTTTTTGCATTGCACTTGACATGAATTTTTTTTTTTTTGAAAATGGGCAAAACGATAAATCAAACAGCAAACGACAAGCGTCGAGCGTGTTGAGTGGCGTCTGCTAGGGCAGAAGAACTGCAGAAGATGAAAAATCCCACCGAACACTGTAATGATATCCCTAAGTTCCACTTCCATGATTTGACTCCATTTTCTAACTTCCACCAGCTTCCACCTTCCAAGTTCCAAGGCCACCCCTCTCCTCTCTTTCCCTCCCCCTCTCTCCACCTCTCACCCAAACACTATCATATCG